AGACGCATTCATTCCTTTATTGAGAGCTCTTTTTTTTCAAGTTAATGCAACACGCTTCCATACATAACTCTTACTTATTTTAGGTAAAATATTTATATATTTAAAGTTCAATTAACACATAGGAATTTGAGTTCCTTTAAAAAAATAGACTAAAATCAATATATTCTTTGCAAATTAGAACAAAATAACATAGTGAACATTGAGACAATATATAGTTTGAAATACACTTTTTTGTACACTATTTGTATATTTTAGTTGAATCATTGAATCTAATTATGATTCTCTTAACTTTGTTTTTTTATTTACCCTTTTCATGCACTCCTGCCCTTTTTTATAAAACTGTATTTGTGTACTGTAATATATTTATTTATTTTTTATTTTGTTGTGTTTCATCTTGTGTGATATATGTATAGTTGCCTGTATTAATAAGAAATATGTATATATAAAGAACAAACACAAATTATTATTCAATAAAGTGGCACAATATGAATTAGAAAACATTTATTGTATATAGTTTATTTTTTTAATACAATATTAAAAAGTATATGTTTGAATATAGTTTAGTATAGTAACCTTAAATAATTTCATTTATATTACTAAAAACCATTGAAGCAAAATTGTTTATAAAAATTATATAAATTCAACGACCATTAATATAAAAAGAAGTAGGTGTTTCAAAAGTATAGATATACAGTATAATATATCATAAACATATAGATAACTTTGGATATTTTAACGTTCAGTTGACAATATACAATACATAAAAACAACAATATATAACAAAACTTGTAGATCTTGTAATAGTACCATTTGGGTGCCATAACTTAACTTTAACGTACATAGAAAGAATACCGACTTTTCAAAGTACAAAATGTGAAAATGTTTAAATTTAAATATAAAACAAGTGCAAGAACGCTACATTATAATGTAGGCTGAATCATTACAAAGCAAATGAGGCAGAAAGTCCCAAAACTTTAAAAAAAACTCACAAGCATATATGATACAACAACTTACAACAGCTTAAGTCACAATAAATAAACTATAAAAATGACACTAAAAGAAACATTTGCCAGCACTTATGGAAAACATCAGTGGTTTTAAACCTACATGAGGTTGGACAAGAAGAACGTTGACCCTTTTACATGATCTTCACCTGGAACTTCAAGGTCTATGTTTCTTGGATAAAAGTTAGGCCCCCCAAGAGTGTTATATTTGCGGTTTGGCATTCTTTGATTTTGTGCTTCGTTGGGGAAAACAGTAACGAAGTATCCATCTGTATTATCAGGTACTCTTATTCTTGGATCTTGTGGCAAATGTGCATTAGGTAGCTGCTGCATTGTTCTCGGAGGATTCACATAAATGTCACCACTAGGAATTTGTCTGGTATGTCTAGGGTCCCTCATGTCAATATTAACACCTGACGGGGAGGCCCTCTGTCTGTAGTTATGTGATGCCTGGTGGTCCATTTTTGAACCTCTGGCTCGAGGCACATGATCCCTTCCTGTGAAATCATCAATGTTGAGATCTGAATGGTTGAAATCAATATTGTGGCCTAAATTAGCATCTGGCAGAGGGTAGCTGGACCTTACTTGGGTCCTAGGTGACCTATCTGTGTGATGAAGTCTGACATCTCTATCTACATCCAGGACAGGCATTTTCATGGATCTGCGATTCTTAAAAGAAGGTTCTTTGAAATTCAGTGATGCATTATCTATGTTGAGATCCGGATGTTTGAGATGCAGCTGTGGATTCCGCATTGCCGCGTTTTGCATGCTGAGATTCATGTTCGGAGCACTGACATTTGGACCTGTGATATTTCCCTTCAACTGTGGTGGTTTCATGTTCAGTTTTGGAGGAGTAATATCCAGATTTGTTGGTCTCAGAGAGGCACCAAAATCAATATCAGACCCTGTCGCTGTAAGATCTGGGCCTCCAAACTGAGGCAGCTTGAAAGAAGGGAGCTTGAATTTTCTGTCTGCCAAATCAAAATCATTCTGAGGACCCTGGATGTTTCCTGAGGGAACATTCATGTCAACATCTGGACCTCTCATTCCCCCTGAGAGACTGAGGTCTGGTGCATTTAAACTTGGCATATTAAATCTTCCTTTTGGACCATTAACATCTACATTTGGGATATTCAGGTCAGGCCCATGTAGGTCCCCATTAATGTCAACATTCGGGCCTTTTGGCATCTTGGGCTTTTTGAACTTTGCATCAGGTAAACCAATATTGACATCTGGAGTGTTCATATCTAAATTGGGAGCTTTGAGGTCCACGTTTGGTAAGCCCAACTTGGGGGCATCGATTCCACCTTTCATCTTTGGAGCTTTGAGATTAAAATCTGGAGTTTTCAGGTCTGAGTTTATGTTCAAATTTGGCCCTTTCGGTAATTTGGCATTAAGATCTGGTGATTTGAAGTCAAAGTTGGGGCCATCTAACTTTGGACTAGTAAATCCCACATCAGGCATTTTCAAATGTGGCGTCTTAATTTTTCCAGATGGGCTGCCAAAATCAACATCTGGCATTCCAAAGCCAGGTTTGGACCCTTTGAGGTTAAAGTTGGGTGCATTGATGTCAATGTCTGGGACATCGTAATTACCATCAATCTCAGGTCTTTTTAGGTGTGGTAGACTAACATTAGGCATTTTCAATTTTGGCTTTTTCAGCTTCGCTTTGGGTGAACCAAAGTTGACATCGGGAGTGTTCATGTCTAATTTGGGAGCTTTAAGGTCCATATTAGGCAAGTGCAAGTCAGGAGCATCAATTCCACCTTTCATCTTTGGTGCTTTCAGGCTCAAGTCAGGTGAATTCATATCTGCGTTTATGTCCATGTTTGGTCCTTTTGGTAATGTACCTGAAAGATTGAATTTTGGCATTTTCAATTTGCCTGAGGGAGCATTAACATCCCAGTCTGGAGCATGAAGCTCTGGCATTTTCAGTTTACCTGATGGCATGTCTAAGTTTAGCTTTGGGGAATTGAGGTCCAGTTTTGGGCTTTTGAGATCAACCTTGGGCATATTTATGTCTGGTGCATTTAAACCACCACCGAGGTTAGGACCAGAGATATCAAGATCAGGTG